CACTCACTTTCTCCTCTCTACTCTTTTCAGAGTCTCCATGAATCCTTTCCATCCTTGATATTGCCTTCTTCAAAACTCATATTTATGGACATGTAGAAATAAGAAACACTTTTTAAATAATAATTTTATTTATTCTTTGAAAATTTCACACATGTATGTAATGTATTTTGATGATATCCACTGCCAACCGACTCTCTAGATACGCCCCACAACACATGCCATTCTCAAGTTCTTGTCCCCTTTCTTTATATAACCCAGTGAGTCCAATTTGTACTGCCTGTATGGACATGCGTGTGGGGCCATCCACTGGAGCTACCAGCAGCCACATTCCCAAATAAAAGTGATGCTCCCCCAGTAGCCATCCACTGCCAATAGCTCTTCAGCAAGGAGTGGGGTCTCATGAGCCCATCTTTCAGGAATTGTGATTGCCTTGATCTTGTGCAGGTCTTATGCAGGTAACACCACCTGCTGTGGGTTCATGACTGCAACAGTCATGTCATGTCCAGAAGACAGCAGAGAAATGCTTTTGAATACTGTTAAAATTCAGAATTTTGTGTCTGCTTTTGTGTGTGTGTGTGTGTGCGTGTGTGTGTGTGTGTGTGTGTGTGTGTGCCGATGGCTGTGACATGGGGTCTTACAGTTTCAGCCCCCATTCCCATAATGATGTAAAAATATTTTTTAATTGTTTATTTAATAACCATATAATTAGAAGAAGCATTTCATTATAACAGCACTGACATATTCAATAACAATTTCCAGAGCTAAGATGCATCTCTTTCAAAATTGGCTGTAAATTTTTAGGTTTATAGTTGAATTAATACAGTTATACAATATTGTACTCCATATAAACCCTATAAGACATAAAATTAAATGAGGTTTTAAACTTTAAAAAAGATCTCCATTTCATTATTAAAATACAGTTTCATACAGAAAAATTCACTTTTAATACAATCGACACTAAGATGCACATGTGTTTCTAATTGTGTCTGCTTTTTAAGGAAGTCGAGACTCCTTGAGTTTTGTTGAGATCACTGCAAGGTAAGTAACTTTAATATATTTTGCATAGAATATACCTTTTCAATTTATTATCTTCAGACTCATATTCTTAAATTGACAATGATACTGAAGCTTAATAAATTTAGAATGCATTTTGCCAGTATTATCATCCTTTTTTTTGAGACATGGTCTCCCTGTAGCTCAAGTTGCCCTGGAACTCTCTATATAGACCAGGCTGTTACCAATCTCACAGAGACTTTCCTGCCTCTGCCTCCAGAGTGCTGAGATTAAAGGCGGGCACCACCACACCAGGCTGAGAGGTGTTTTATTTAACAGTATATTCGTAGTATCTAAGCATCTTCCACACAAAGTGCTGCAGTGTGTGTGTGTGTGTGTGTGTGTGTGTGTGTGTGTGTGTGTGTGCGTGCGTGCGTGTGTTTACCCCCAGCTGTTTTAGGTGAGCTCCCCATATAACTCATCCCTGTGCTTCATAGGAATTCTGCCCCCCTCACATATACCCTTACTTTTATCTCCCTACAGTTTCCATATTCTTCCCCTTTACTGTCTTCTTTGACCTTTTTCTGCCTCCCCTGTGTTTCTGGTCCTTTCTATTCCAAGTGGGATTGAGGCTCTAGCCTATGCCAGGCTTTCTGTTGGGTGCTGGGAATATAAGGAAGCGAGGAGACAAGGACCTGAGCCACTAGGCCATCGCATCCTATTAGGGGTCAGAGATAAATCAAGAGCAAAGGCAGTAAATGTGATGTGTGCACAATAATTGAAATGTATTAAAAGGATTCTGTGACAGAAAATGGAAGACAAAGTAAATCACCTCTGACTGACGTGAGCTGGAGCTTCTCAGCAGATACAGTTTCAACAAGCCAAGAAATTGGGGAAGTGGATACAGGTAGAGGAATTGTGTCCATGCAAAAGCACAAAAATGTAAAAGAAGAGTCATGAGATGAATACTCAAAACTAAGATGAAGATACAGGTGGTGTTTGCTTGTGAAGGGATGGAATGATGTGCCAGGCCATGCTGAGGAGCTCAGACTGTTCTCTATGCCAAGGCAGAGCCAGAGCCAGTGAAGGGGGTTATTTTAGGAAGTAAACAACCCTATTAGAATTTATTACTTGGCCTTTGCCTTCTCCCCTCCCCCCTCTCTCTCTGAAAGGCAGCTCACATATTCATTATTGCCTAGTTCATGAGTTTAGAATACTCTTCTACTTTGGATCTTTTGGCTCTTGCCTATGTATTCAAGTCTGTTTCCTGTAACTCCCCTGAAATATCTTACCCATCAGCCCCTCCTTTCTAACCTAACAATGAAGTCCAGTTTCTGTCATTTCCTTTGCCTGAAAATAAACCAAAACCTACCTCTTCCCAAGTGGCCCCCCCTCTTCTGTCTTCCTCCTACAGTCCATGGAGTGTATACTATACTTTGGAGTATTTTGTTGTTGTCCTGTACTGCATTGCTTTCTAATGGTCTGAGACTTCCTTCTCTCCCGCACTACACGTAAACTCTCTGGGAGCTAGCTGTAAGCTCTAGAAGATCAAAGATCCCTCATTCCTTGCTCAACACTGTATCCCTGATGTTTACCTTATTTTAGCGGGACAACATTCCTTAAACATACAAAATGATCATTAAGAACTTTTTTGTTTGACATTTGTCTCCTCCATTCTATGAAGGCACTGATATTTGTCATTTTTTAACTGAAACCTGTCAAGTACCTGGGCTAACATATAGCTCATAGTGAATGCTCAATAAATATTGGCTGGATTTATTATAAATTAGGACATCAGGGACTTTGTCTTATCCACCACTATGTCCACCACACTTAATCCACTAGTTACTTGAAATTTTACTGAATGAGACAAAAATCATGTCTTCTACTTTTCTGTACTGTTGTCTCTTTAGAACCAAGGTAGATATTCAATGCATATGTGTAATTGGTGGTTTGAAAATGAAAGAGATTTCAGGCTTGCTACTGAAGTTGCGTTATTATAAACCCAAGTCTTCCCTTGATGATTAAGAAGAAGTTACACAGGGCAAAAATCATTTTTTTTCTTTTTTTCATGTATAACTGATTATCTCTTTGAAAAATATTTATCCTTTCACAATTTCCTACACATGTATAAAATGCACTTTGAGTACTTTGGCCCATAAATACCACCCACTCCTATTTTCATGTCTTCTTTGTGCCCCACTGCGTTTAGTTAGGGTTGTTTATGTAAGCATGAGTTGGGGGTTATCTACTTGAGTGAGAGCAACTTACCAGTGACTACACCACTGAGGAAGATGAGTCCCTCTGCTCCAGTAGCCAATACTGTCTATAGCTCCTCAGAGGGGGGTGGGGCCCACCAGACCCCAGCTCCCATCTGTGATGGAATGTTGATATGTCCATTCATGTACAGGTCTTGTGCAAGTAGCCACATCTGCTGTTAATTCTTGGGTGCAACAGCAATATCATGTCCAGAAGTCAGCGTTCCACAGCAACCACTGATTTTTTTGAGATGTGGTCTACCTATCCTAGTTTATCCCGGAACTTATTATGCAGCCTAGGCTAGTTTGGAATTCAGACGTCCTGCTCCAGTCTCCCAAATGCTGGAATTATAGGCCCGTACCACCAAACCTGGCTAAACTGATTTTTCAAGAGAAAGAAATGTTAACTGTGAGGAAAGAAAGGGTGTAAGGAACTGTTCTATACTATGTAAGTGTAATATTATTACCAGACGATAAGAAGAAGAAAGTTTGCTTAGTGAAGAAAAGTGTAGCCATTCATCAGAGATCACTGGAAAGTCACTTAATAATGACTATTACCTTGCCAAGCACATATCATGTAGATTTACTTAAGGAGCTTCACAGAAAAGCCTCTCTAGATATGCTTTCCCTCTGTTCTTACTATGGGAAATTAATCTCTGTTCATCAGGTAAGAAGTACTTTATAAGTGAGGTCTATAATTTCAGTGATGGAGTGCCTGGATGTGAGTTTGATCCCTAGCAACTTTCTGTCTCTATCTCTCTCTCTCTCTCTCTCTCTGTCTCTCTCTCTCTCTCTCTCTCTCTCACACACACACACACACACACACACACACACACACACACACGCACGCATGTTTGTGAGCATAATCTTATCAGAAACTGAAGTCCAGAAAAGTTAGGTCATTGGTGGGAGGTTTTTTTTAAAAGTATGCCTGACTCTGTATCGTACACATGGTTAAGGCAACTCAGAGTCTCAGAGAATTAAGGAATTATAGACAAAATATTTAGGAAAAAGTCAGCTACACTTTTCCCCTCCCTGGAATTGGTGAAATTCCTTTTCATTCAATCCTAATGTTATGCTGAGTCATAAAATGCAGTGTTCTTCAGTGCAGCACATCTCTGGAAGCCCTTCAGCCAGCCTCTGTTAGTCATCACTATACGCACAGGCTTGAAGTCAGTGTCACTCACACTTCCCCTGTTTTGCAGCAGACAGACAGAGGTACTCTAATCCTTCTGTTCCTTCCTCCCCCACCTCTCTAAAACCCTTCTCTCATGGAGAAACAGCTATAGATTTGAGGATAATATAGCTTTAAGGCAACTTTTGGCAGATGCGAACATCTTAACATCTGGGCAGTGTTAACAGAATCTCGGAGGCCCGGAAAGACCAGGAGCCACTCGTTCTAGGAATGTTAAAGTAGAAGGGTTTATTTTCCGACTGATGAGAGGAGCAGAGAGGAAGGAGAAAGAGAAGGAAACCACAAAACATTAAAAACAGGTAAGATCTGCACTTCATCCCTCACACTATACTGCCCCGTTTCACAGCTATGGAGAGGAAAAGGGACCCAGGACTTATACAACATGGCTGGAGATGGAAGGGGAAAAGACGCTTTTAATGAAATTGAATCATATGCTGTTTTCATTTGTGCTGTGTGACCTGGCTGCAGATGCATGTTCCCGCTCCCTTCTCGGCTTGCAGCAGAAGGATGGCTCCCTCCTGTGTGTCAAATTTTCAGACTGAGATTGGGGAGGAGATGCACAGGGACAAGAGCACAAGCTCAGAGTATGGAGTCTGACAAAGGAAAGCCCCTATTCTTTTAAGTAAAGGAATTTACTTGAGGCTGGCTATAGCAGGAGGGTCAGTGATTAGCTCTTCATTTTCCTGGCTCTTTCTTTAACCTCTCTTTGTTGTTGTTTTGCCTCTTGGTGCTTTAATCCATCTCTTTCCTTTATCACTGTCAGACTTTCTTTTCTTTCTAGCATCCTTTCCACAGCTTTCCATGTTCCTCTCTTGCCTACTCTGATTCTTTTATCTATTCTACTTAATAACCACTCTCTAGACAAAATATAAAGCCAAGGAGTGATGAATGGCAAATTAATTTTTTACTTTCTTGGATGTCCCTTTAAGGATTCTAGACAGTATCTGTCATCTTTTTCTGTTTCTCCATTTCTAAGACTGACACTTCCTATGAGCATGGCATTTCATGGAAAGCATATGGATGAATGGGTGCTTGCTGAAAGGTCCAGTGACCAGCTTATGCCAATGGGCAGCAAGTTGTAATATTGCCATTTATGGAGTATTTGTCAAGTAGCAACCACAAAAAGCTCTCATCTCATTAGAATGAAGACAGGAGAGAAAATGAGATGGCAATAGGAGCTTGCTCACCCTCTCCCTGTGAGCCTTAGGAGGTCCTCTCCAACCTCTGCCTTCCTGTTGGTTCGGCAGTGTAAAACTGGAAGGGCTGGCTGGACTTAAAATCCAGAAGTAACTATCAAGTCATTAAGCTTCAAATCTCAAAGTTCGGAGCAAAGTAGAGCTACAGCTACTGTCTAGGAGATCCAGAAAGGAGACACCCTGTCCTGTCCAGTCCAGTATGAAGTTTGTAATAATAATGCCAATACATATAGATTGCTTCCCTATGTGGCAGGCAACAATATACTCCATAAGGTAGATGCTATTGTTCCTGTTTTATAAGCAGGAACTTATAAGCAGGAACTTTATAAGCAGAGCCTCTGCAGAGTTAGTTTGTTCATAGCCCCCTAGCTAATTGGTGACAGAACTGGAGTCATATCCAGATCTGCCTAACTCCATATACACCAGTGCTTTCTGAAATCTGTGGTTAGGAAATGCAAACTGAATGGACAAAATCATTAACTAGCAGACTGTTGGTGGTCACATTCCCTCCTACTTCGATGTGATTTTATGCTAGCATTCTCCTGGTCTTGGAACTTCCACGTCCCTCGCTATAACTTGAACTACTTGCATCTATCTGGTTGTACCAGAGTAAGTTGAAGTTTGGCTGTTTAATGTCCTCCTCCTCCTCCGCCTCCTCCTCCTGAGAGGGAAAGGGACCATAAATAAAGAAGTCTTATTAGCCTACGAAGTTAGATGTTTTTTGAGCTGGATTATATAACTAGAGTTCATTAATGTTAAACATCTTTTTCCTTCCTCACAGATTCCATCTTTATGCTTTTTCTTACTTTTAGAAGCTCATAGCTGGCTGAAATCTGAAAGCCTTTTTTCCTTACAATAGTACTTCTGGCTACATAGTCCTATTTTTGTCTCCTGAAGCTTCCCTGTCAAGGATGGCTGGTCAACTAAATCAAAGATGCGCACTCTCTCTGTTACTCTTCCTAACCCCAGCAGTGACACCAACGTGGTATGCAGGTAAGTTCTAGGAGATGTTTTTCATTATTTTAAAGGAAGTCAAGACCTAGACCAAGATTTGGAAGAGGGAAGAAATAGAGTGCAATAAGAGATCCCTAACTTAGACCAAGAGAAAGTCTATTAAATGGCAGCAAAGATCATCAAGTATTGCAAAAGACTGCCAACGGAGGCCTGTGAGGTACCCTCACAAGGGCTATTTGATAATGGGCTGTAGCTGCACAAACGTGAAAAGGTTGTCCAGCAGAGCCTTTAAGGATGTTTGTTTTAGGGGTTGCTTTTTTCACTTAGTTTCCTGAAAATGATGGGGATTATCATTATTATTTGGGGGCTGTTTGCTTTACTGCTTTTGCTTTGTTATGTTTTGTTTCCTGTGCTTTCTGAGGTTGAACTTAGGGTCTCACACATGCTGAGCAAGTTCTCTACCACGGAGCTATATCCACAGCCCACTGAAAACTCTTTTCTAAGATATTTTATCAGTCTAAGCTTCACTAATATTGATTTTTTTCTGAGTCAAATACCCTTGTTAAGGCTAAAAAGTAGGACTCAGACCATCTATCTGTTTTGGAAAAAACGGAACACAGGCAATCTATTCAGCAGGAACAAGAGTCTCTCAGACTTATCCCCCCACCCCCACCTCTTCCTCCCAGACCTTATTTATAGGATTTTTGTAGCCCGCTTTGGCCAACACTGTTAATGGAAATACAGATCACACTCTTAATCAGGAATTTCCCAGTTTCTTCTAGCTTATTCCTTATTTCAGAATGGATTCTGCTTTCTGGAGTACTAAATGATTCACCCCATGCCCCTGGAGACACAGAGTGTCAACAAGAACAGACTGGGGCGGGGGAGGGAGAGGGATAAGGAAAGGATAATGAGCAGCCATAGAGAGGTTTCCGATGGGGCTCCACAGGCATTGCAAGTGCTAAGAATATTCTGTGGCCTGCAGTGTCTGCCCTCAAAGGGACTGGAGAGAGTGTGGGGGAATGAGATGGGCCCAACCAATGGGGTTAGGAAAGTATCCAGAGATGAGTAAATAACAAACTGCAACCATCACAGGGACAGCCACTGCAGCTAAAATTTTCCACATACCCTTAGCTCCTGGTGGAGGCCTTTGGCAGTAGCTCTGTTTGTCTGAAACAGCTGCATCCAGCTTTGAAACAACTATGCAAACTTCTTTCCTTCTTTGGCTTAACCTGGCTTTGTAGGGGGTAAAGCACAAGGGTAACATTGAAATGAAGAAATTCAAATCAGGCCCTTGGCTGAGTACACTGTTTGGGGTTAAAAGAGCCTCAAGTCTTCAGGAGATAAATATGCAGCTGTTCTCCCCAACCACCCACTGGCTTTAGTTCAAGAACGGAAGACTGAGATCCACTCAAAGACCACAGGACAAAAGAAGTGGAGGTTACATGATTCAAAACCCAATTTTGAATACCTCTATGAAACTCACTGTGTGCAAAGGCCTTTTACCTTTCCCACAGCAAAAGCCCGAGTGAGATGCCAGAGTTCTGCAGACAAAGCATTTAAAAAAATCCTTAGCTTCACAGAGGTCTATTTGCAACATAGGCACTCCCTTACTTCTACATGAATCACCACAGTCACCCCCGCTTATGAGGAGCCCAGGCTACTGAGGTCTCTGACAGCCCTCCAAGCCTTCTTAGGAGGCTACATGATGAGAGCTATATGAAGTTCCAATGATTCTCCCTATCACTGCTAGCTCTGCTGCTGGGCTTGTGTCCATCCATGCAGTCATCCATTCAACAAATTTGTGTTGAACATTCCCTGTGCCCCCCAGGACTGTTTCTTCTCTTGTTTGGCTTTGTGCTCAAGTGGAAATGGCACAAGAAAAAGCAGCCAAATTGGACTAAGAGACAATAAGAAAAGATGTCCAGGGATAGTCAGCTGAGAGCAGAAAAGGTTAAGCCAATAAATGAAGACAAGTAGGTTAAAAAGCGTATATCGGCATACCAAGGCACTTCAGGAAGTCTCACTGTGTTTGACATCATAATTAAAACATTAATGTGGTTCTTAAAATCATCAATTACCAATTTTCTTTCCAACCATACCTTCATGAAGGGCAAAGCTTAGAGGGTCTGACTTGGCTGTGGAAGTTGGAAGTACCCAACAGCAAACCAACCACTGAGAGATACAAAGGAATCAGGAAATGTTCAAGCCTCATCCTCCAATGCTGAAGAGGGCCACACAGAGAGAATGACATAGAGGGTGTGCACTTCTAGTTTCATTCTTGTTTCCCACGTCAGCATCCCCATATGTACAAAAATACTCGAAAGCAGGCAAAGAGGAGACATGGCAAAGTTTAAATGCTTCAGTAGCCCAAGCCCATTCCCGGCACAAAGGAAACCGAGCTCTGGTTTAGCTACCTCCACACTCTGGTGGAAACTGCAATTACGGGACTGAGCCTTCCCCTCAGTTTTCTCACATCCCCTGTAATTCTAGAATGTTATAAAATGCATGGTGGTCTCCAGTCTTCCCACTCTGCCCCACCACCAAATAAAAATGCTTGATTGCAAAAAAAAAATTTGTTTGTTAACCCCTGCTGGCCATAGTCAAAACTCTCTTCTATTATCATTCCAGTATAGTGTTTGAGTCTGGTATGTAGGGCTCAAACAGTCCTGGGCTGGGAAGCCCACTCTTCCATGTGCTATTTAGGAAACCCTATGTGATTCGTTTCACTCCTCAGAGTCAGATTCTTTTTCTGTGCATTGGAGAGCATGAATCATGTCTACTCAGTTGTTATGGTGACATATGAGATAACATATGCTTTTCCACAGAACAGGAGCTAAGTGATGTCAGCAGTCAGTCATTGGTATTACTGTTATCCAGACAGAGGCCTCTGACACTCCTCCTTTCTCTTCTGGTAAACAGCTGTTTATTCCCTGCTAAGCACTTCTTCACAAGCTAGCTCTGTAACAAGGGTGGGGAGACCTAATCCTTTAGGAAATCAAGCACATCTGGCTTCCTGTTTACAGGCGCTGTGAGGCATTGAGGCTAACACTGAACTGAAACAGCTGACAAGAATTCTGCCTCATAAAGACACCTCCCACATGGGAAAAGAGTAAGGGAGAGGAGACCAATAGAGAAATTTAAAAAAAGGAAAGTTAGATAAACTGAAATGGGAAAAGAGCAAAAAAGAAGAGAAACAGTGAATACTTTCCTTTGGAATGAGGGCAACCCAATGAGGACATGATTTCATAAGGAAAACTTTCAATTTGACTCATCCCCTCCCTCGTCCTGCGCGCGTGCACACACACACACACACACACACACACACACAAACACACACCCTCAGCCT